AACTTTTATTTTTAATTCAAAAATAAGGTAGAAAATTAAATAAATAAATATATAAATTATAAATTTAATAAATGAATAAAAATAAAATTAAATAATTAATTAAATGAATGAATTAATTAAACAAAAAATGAATAAGATATACTAAATAAATAAATGTACGAGTCATTCAAATCGTGCTTCATGAATTAGTACGAGAGTCGGTAACCTTACGAACAATTATTCGCGGTGTTGACAGTTGAAAGCGAGCGCGCGAAACTTAAAAAATACATTTTATTTAAACAGTTTTGTCCAATTAAAATTCATTTAAGAGCAGTCAACAATAATAATAGTTGAAGAGTAGTTGTATTATAGATAGTACAAATTGTTAATTTAGTATTATTTTTATATTAAATTATTGCATTTTTATTATATAATTGCAGATACAGGAAAGAAACAGTAAATCCTATAAAATTAACAATTATATCAGTGGTGGCGAATTATTTGATTATTTTGAAGACTTTGGTGAATCCTATAATATATGCGGCGAGGATGCAAGAGATAAAGGTACAAATAAATAAATAAATAAATAAATAAATGAATATATATATATATATATATATATATATATATATAAGATATAGAGGTATAATATTTTTGTGAGTTATTTAGAATCGGGCAGTAATAAATATATATATATATATATATATATATATATATATATAAATATATATAATTATTAATTTGTTTTTCCAGCAAGCAAGTCAATACATGCCACTGTGTTTCTGTGTACCCCCCAGACGAACAATTTCGAGAAACGACGAATTTAATTTCACCAGGACCAGCACTGTTATACATACACATCTCAACAACAGGTAAACTTAACAATACGCATGTAATTTGCTAATGAAGAAAATGCCCATTTAATAAAAATATTCGGAAGAAAATCTAAATAAGGTATAACATCTTTTTTAAAAAAGCTCATAGAAAAGTAAAACTGTTTAACAAATATTTGACCTTTTTTGTAAAAACAAACAACTACCAAGTATTCGTTATCTTAAACAAATGTAACAGTTTTCGAATTTATTTTGTTGCAATTAAATGCGTTATTTTGTACGTGGAAACAATTATTCGTTACAAAGTCAAATTTAAAATTCGCGCCCTCCGTGCGTACTGTCAACACGGCACAATATGCTTAATAAATGAAGTTGGTTACAAGTGACATTCGGTGCTACGTTCATGCTTACGTAGCACAATGTTGTGTTTTGAAATTACTGCATAAAAATAATAAACTTAAATAAAAGAGAAACTCTACTGACGAGCAAACGAATTAGTGACTTCATTAAATAATATAGTGCAATTTATAATTAAATATAATAAAAAGTATAATATAATAATTCAAATATGACATATAACAATGTCAAATAAACCTAAAAAGCGTGAATTTATATATAATTAAAAAAGAACTCTACTGACAAGCAAACTATATTTATAGTTATATAGATTTATAATAAGATTGTGAATAGGGTTGAAATATTCACTATTCAAAAGGAACTTTACTAACAAGCAGAATTGAAAAAAAAAACAGTTGAAAAAATTGCACTTTAGTGACGAGAAGTGAGAAGAACTCTACTGACGTGCAAACTGAAAAATATTTTTATCAAATAACAAACAGGGACCTGGAAAAATGGACTCTACTGACAAACATACTAAAAATCGACCGAAAAAATAAAAGTAAATCTATTAAGGCAAACAAACTTCATTTTGATCCAGTAGATTAAAAAGGAACTCTACTGACACGTAAACTTAATTTTAAAACAAACTCTACTGACCAGCAAACTTTAATTTTGATCTAGGAGATAAAAAAAGAACTTTACTGACGAGCAAATAACATTTTTAGTTAGAAAATATATAAAGGACTCTACTGACGAGCAAAATTAATTTTAATTAATTTTTTGTTAATAAAGGAACTCTACTAGCAAGCAAATTTTCGTTTTGATCTAGAAAATTAAAAAAAAAGCAAACTTTATTTTTTATCTAGAAAAATAAAAAGGGACTCTACTGACGAGCAAACTTTATTTTTTATCTAGAAAAATAAAAAAGGACTCTACTGACGAGCAAACTACAATTTTGGACTAAAAAATTAGAAAAGGACTCTACTGACGAACAAACTTTAATTTTGATGTAATAGAAAAAAAGGACTCTACTGACAAGCGAATTGTTTAAAAAAAATTTAAAAAACTGTACTTACGAGCAAACTGATTATTTTATCTATAAAACAAATTTAAAAAGGGACTCTACTGACGAGCAAACAAATTAACCACTTAAAAAATAAGAATGGAACTCTACTGACGAGCTAAATTAAATATTTAGTCAAAAAACTAAAAAGCAAACTGAGTAACTAGATAAAACATTAAAAAAGGGACTCTACTAAGAAACTAATTGAACATCTAAACAGAAAATTAAAAAGGGGACTCTACTGACGAGCAAAATTAATTTTGATCCACTAGGACTCTACTAACGATCAAAATAATTTTAACCTAGTAGATAACAAGAACTCTACTGACAAGCAAGATAATAATGGATGATGTTAAAACTTAAAAAGAGACTCTACTGATAAATTAAATATCGATTTGATATCTTAGAAAAAAAACTCTACCAATTATTTGTTCGATTGAAAATAGTGTTGACAGTACATAACGACTCACATGAAATAAAGCGTTAATATATATATTATATTAAAATAAAAGCAACATGGCTGCCATTTTATGGCACAATGTCTCTTTTCGCAATTACTGCACGAAACGTTGCATCGGCCATCTTAAATTAATAAATGAAGTTGGTTACAAGTGACATGTGCTGCCACACGTTCTGGCACAATGTGTATTCCAAAATAACTGCATATAAGAAGGCATCGGCCATCTTTAAATTCAAATTTAAATTTAAATAAATATCGTTAAATATAAATCGTCTGATGTTTCTAAACAATTAAATATATTGTCACTATAAACAGTGATTTGAGACATCTTTCTACAAGCAACTTTTGGACATTTTGTATAATATTCCAACTAAGTATTAAGTACAACTGTATCAAGTTATTTTTCAGGAGGAGTTCCCGCCTATCATCCCAAAGACAACTAAATCAACGTCCATCAATTTCTCAAAACAACGGAGCAACAAGAATTAAAAATAATAATTTTAACATTTGTTCCAACACTAACGCCATTGAATTGATAAATTCGAATGATAATAATTTACAAAATTGTGAAGGCAATTTTAAAGTCACCATGTTATAAATTGTAATAAAATATTATAAAAGTCATATTATATATAATATAAGAATTGTTTTATATATGTATTATTATATATATTTATAATATTTTAAAGTGATATTGTTAAGTTGTAAATACTCATTATAAATTGTAATATATAATTTGAATTATAAATGTTAAAAAATATAAAATATAAGAGAAGATGTGATTTGTTTCTTCGCTAAACTCCAAAAAATACAAAAGTTGTGATATTTAACAGTTCTAGATATCAATTTGTTGAGAGAGTTTTTGTAATATAATATTTGTACGTTTTTTCTCCAAAATTTGCTCGTCAGTAGAGTTCTTTTCTCATTTGTTTTCGTAATTTGCTAAAGTAGAATTTCTTTTCACTAATAAGTGGTCTCATTTCATTTTAATCTTGCTTCTTTTATATTCTAATATAATCGTTAAATAATACTTAACAAAATTTTGCTCGTCAGTAGAGTCCTTTCTTCCTAAAATGATATTTAAATATTCTTTGCTGCGTTTGATTTGTCAGTAGCGTTCATTTTTATTTTTGAGGTGTTTATTCATGTTTACTTACTTAATTTTGTGATTAGTGACATTTTTTTCAACCTCAGAAGTTTGCAACTTGCCTTATGGTAATATGAAAAATAAGAAAGAAACTCTACTGACGAGCAAATTAAAAAATAACAATAAAAAGAACTCTACTGACGAGCAAATTTAAAACTTAACAGTAAAAAGAACTCTACTGACGAGCAAATTTAAAACTTAACAGTAAAAAGAACTCTACTGACGAGCAAATTTAAAACTTAACAGTAAAAAGAACTCTACTGTCGAGCAAATTTATAACTTAACAGTAAGAAGAACTCTACTAACGAGCAAATTTAAAAAAAAAATGAGATAAAAAAGGACTCTACTGACGAGCAAATTTTTTTAAAAAAACGAGGTTAAAAGAAACTCTACTAACGAGCAAATTTAAAAAAAGAAAAATAAGATATTAAATTAACAAAACGAATATTATTGTAGTCACATTTTTTTCAGCTTTGTCAGTTACAAAATGAATCAGTTGAAAAGACATCAAATGAGCAAATAGGATTTTCTTGAATGTGTGAACGTTTCGAGTCTGAGTTTACCCCATCTTCAGTGCAAATAATTCAAATCAATGCAAATGAGTAGAGAAATAGAAAATACATTATGGAACTTAATTATTATATTCGAAGACATTATTTATTATTAAATTGTTAAATCATATTCAATTTGTTTATTATTTTAAAAAATAAATTATACCAATACAATTTATTGATATTTTACTAATAAGAGTTTAACATATAAATAATATAAGAAAAAATAATTATTTATCAACAAATGCCACTAAAACCTTTTCAAATATTTGATTCAAAATAATTCTCCTAATTTTTCAATTAATATTTGATAAAATATTAATATAAATACGTCAATGCAAATATGTTTCAAAAAAGTCTATCATGAACGTCCGAATCTCACGCCTCGACCTCACGCTCTAGACTTAACTGAAAACTGTCAAACGAAATCCTTAACACGCTGCGTGCTCGATCCTTATACGAGTGTTCTAAAGGTGACCTTAGCAATTTAAAACATAGACCGACACGGAATTTTTGTACATTTTCAACCGAAACAATTCGAAAGGTAATTCGAAATAGTTTTGTGTAATTCGACAAGTATATATATATATATATATATAAAGATATAAAATAAATAAAAAAGACTCACCGTCCGTCGACAGCATTAACAGTTTTTGCATTAATTCCGAGTTCCTGAAAACACAATCTCATCCTTTCTCGTCTTTCAGGTCTTCTCAATAGGTTTATCATGTAGATTTCATCAAAACCCATTTTATCCCTGAAAAAGAAATAGAAAAAATTATAAAATAACATTTAAAATATTTAAAATAATACAATATATAACAAATAAACAAAAATAATAAAAGATTTAATAAATAACAGAAATAAGATAAAGAGACTCTACTGACAAGCTAAATGAATTTCAAAATTAAATAAAAAAGGACTCTACTGACAAGCAAATTAATTAGAAAACTCAAAATTATAAGGCGAGCAAATTGAATTTTTTTTTAAAATTAATAAAATGATTTTATAAAAAGGAACTCTACTAACGAGCAAATTAAAATATGAAAATTAAAAAAATTACTGATTTTTTTTTTAAAAAACTAACGAGCAACATTAACTTTTATCTAAAAAACCTACTAACGAGCAAATAAATTAGAAAAGTAGTGAATTAAAAAAAAGAATCTAATGACGATTAGACGATTAATAAGGGACAAGCAATCAAGCAAAAAAAATGTGAAAGCAAATTAAAATAATATTTTTTAAAAATTTTAATGAAATTCTTAGAAAAAAGGGACTCTACTGACGAGCAGAATAATTAGGAAAAACATTAAAAACGTTAAGAAAAATTAAGCTTGTTCGTCAGTATAGTCCCCTTTGTTCCCTTAACATTTAATTCACATTTCTTTAGAATTTTTTAATCTAATTTCCTCGTCAGTAGAGTCTCTTTACCAAGAAAAAAGAACTCTACTGACGAGCAAAATAATTAGGAAAAAACATTAAAAACGTTAAGAAAAATTAAGCTTGTTCGTCAGTAGAGTCCTTTTGTTTTCTTCGGTAGAGTAGAGTCATTTTTCTTAATTTGCTTGTCAGTAGAGTCCCTTTTATTACTTTTTTGTTACATAATTTGCTCGTCAGTAGAGTTCCTTCTTCCTTCTTCATCTTTTCTCATATTAAATAAAGAGATTTAACTTTGTTTAGATTTTTTGTTTGTTAATATAGTTCATTTTTTTGAACTTAACATTTGAATAATTCTTCTCAAATTTTGCTCGTCAGTAGAGTCCTTTTGTTGTCTAATACGACATTCTACTAAAATAACTTTTAAATTTTCCAAATTGAACTAATAGAGATTTGCTTTCTTGTCTGATAAGTCTACTGATAACTGTTTTGTAAAATAATCTTTTATTTGCTTGTCAGTAGAGTTCTTTTACGTATTCAAATAATTTATTTTTTTAATCAATTTATTTATTCAAATAATAATTTATTGTCAATATATATGTACTGTCAATTTAATCATTTTAAATTAGACAGTTGATAATTTGAACAAACTCGAAAACAAAACATTTAAATTGTAATTTTATTCTTATTTAAATTGTACAGTGTGAAACGCGCTTTATCGTAAAGCCGTTACCACACTTGCATTTTTATATATAGCGTGTGAGAATAGTCTCAATTTAATTTGCTCGTCAGTAGAGTTCCTGTTTCCCTCAATGCTCGTCTAATATTTACCTCAAAGTCGATTTGCTTGCCAGTAGAGTCGCTATTTTACTCTTAATATAATTTAGGACTCTACTGACAAACAAATTAAACTTGTTAGCAATTTTAGTAAAATCTAAGAAAAAAGGGACTCTACTGACGAGCTAATGAAAAACATACAAAAATTAATTTTACATAAACTATGATTTTTAAAAAGCAATAAAGTAAAGAATACGATTTTTATACCTAAACCTAAAAAAATTCTTAATTCAATTTTAGTTTTGCCTCATAAAACGTATAATAAATTAATTAAGTATTGATATTTTATGTGTATGTCATTTTAATTCAAAAGTTCAAGTGTGAAACACGCTCTACAACGCTAAAGCCTCCGCCACACTCTACCGGCTCTATATGAAGTTATAAACAACTCGTATATACAAAATGTCAAGTGTGTGTGCGGCTTTAGGCTAAAGCTTGTAACACACTATGCAAATTTAAATAATTAATAATAATTAACTTACGTTTGTGGATATGCAATATAGTGTTGTAAATACTCGTTGACATATAGAGGTTTCATTTCACCCAAAACGAGTAGTTTTAAATTTGTCAACTGTATATAATCGTGCTGCAAACTGTCACCTGCAATAAATAAAATGATATGATACTAAAATAATTAGAAAATACCAATATATTATGTAATATTTTATAACCTATTGTTATAAATAAATTACCTTGTTCTAAAGGCACCATCACATACCCAAAAGGTTCTTTGTTCGAAACAATTAGAGGAATACCTGAAATATAAAAATATTCGATAAATATTATATTTATTTATAAATTTAATTGTTATAATCTAGAATATCTATATATTATTTGGTTTTGTCTGAATATGTAATAAAAAATATTAAAATCATAATTCAATATAATATCTCATTTTATAAATTACAAGTACCTATTCTTTAAAATATATATTTGTGTGGGAATTTTATAATTATGTATATAAATTTAAATTTAAAGCTCTAGAAGTAAAAATTATAAATTGGTTAAAAGTTCTAGAATTGAATTTAATTTAATAATTCAAATAAGTACTCATATAAATCTAAAACGTATGTAATTAGTTTTTATATTATTATGTATATAAATAATTTTAAATTTTAAATCATAGTGTTATCTGTGAGCACTTTCAAACAATTTTGATATTTTAAAGCTTATAGATTTCGAGAGTATTATTTGTACAAGGGACTCTACTGATGAGCAAATTGGGATATCTTAGGAATTTACGATAAAAAAGGACTCTACTGACGAGCAAATCGAAATTTTCATCAAATTATTTGTAAAAGAGACTCTACTGGCAAGCAAATCGGGATATCTTAAGAATTTTTTATGAAAAAGAACTCTACTGACGAGCAAATTAATTTTTTAAAGGAATAATTTGGTACAAGGGACTCTACTGTCAGTAGAGCAAATTGGGATATCTTAAGAATTTTTGATGAAAATGGACTCTAGTGACAAGCAAATCGAGATTTTCAGAATATTATTTGTTACAATGGACTCTACCGACGAGCAAACCAATTTTTTTTAAAAAAATTTGTTACAATGGCGTTTACAATGGCGTTATTTGTTACATTATTATGAAAAAGGACTCTACTGGCGAACAAATCGGGATATTTTAAGAATTTACGATGCAAAAGGACTCTACTGACAAGCAAATTGTGAAATTTCTGAAAAATTTATTATAAATAAAAGAACTCTACTAACCAGCAAATTCTGATGTCTAAAGAATTAATTATAAAAAAAATTTAACTGACAAGCAAATTGTAATTCCTTGAAAATTTGTTATGAAAAAGGAATCTACTGACGAGCAAATTGGAATTTCTTAGAAATTATATTATAAATTAATATTTAGTAAGTTTATTTGTGAAAAAAGAAACTCTACTGGCAAATATAATAGAATTTTTTTTGAAAAAAAAAGGAAGAAAGGACATTATTGCCAAGCAATTTAAGAAATTAAAAAAAATTAGAAGTTTAGAAATCTAAAGTAAAAATTCGAATTTAATAAATGAATTTAAGAAAAAGAAACTCTACTGACGAGCAAACTGAATCAGATTTATATATGTAATAAAATTAATTATATATATATATATATATATATATATATATAAAATTTATTATTATTATTCTACTCACCACTAACGTTTGCAGCATAAGCAAAAGTAATAATATCATCGACCGGTCCAGAATATTTCTTCAAATTATCAGGATTAAAAGTCAACTTATCGCTTAAGACACGATTTAAATTAATTAAAACTGCAGAATGTATCATCGGCACTTGATGTTTTCCTAAATTTTCTCGATACAAAATCGGTTTGTACTCTTCTGTACGTTTGTAGTAATAATCTGCTGTCATTCCACACCTAAAATAATAAAATAATAATTTAAATAAAAAATATATAATATATATATATATATATATATATTAAAATATTTGTACTTTGTTTTATATTTTAAATATAAATGAATTAAAAACAATGTCTGAAATTCAAATGTTAAAATTACTGCATTTAATTTTGAACAAAGTACCCAACACACTGAAGTTGTCCGCGAGTTGGTACTGTCAACGCCATTTTAACCGTTAACATTTAAATTTAAATTTTGAATTCAAGTACTAAATTTATACAATAATTTTCTCATTGCTTTTTTCACACAAATTAATTTAATTGTAGATTTGAATTATCTAGTGTATTATATGAATAGAAAATATTCAGTCATAATTAATATTTACAAATTGTATCTTGTTTTAATTTGATAGATTTTTCACATATTGTTAAGAAATATTTCAAAGTATAACAAATATTGTTGATCTCTAAACTTTCTTTATTAAGTGAGTGAAAATTTAATTTTGTTATGTGAATTTCATACCAATATTTTCTATATTATACTTCAATATCTAAGAAAAAAATCTCACTATGAATTCTGAAGCTCAATTGTTAGAATTACTGCATTTAATTATGAACAATGTACCCAACAGTCTGAAGTTGTCCGCGAAGTGGTACTGTCAACGCCATTTTAACCGTTGACATTTGAATTTGAATTTAGGTAACAATAAATTTATTTATATATCTTTCTTATTGTTATTTTTACACAAATCAGTTATTATATAATCAAAAACGATTATATTCGCGAAGTGAATTATATTGAAAAAGTACACAAATGAACGTTCAGAGATCCGAAATACTTTTTTCTTGTAATTTAAATTGCAAGTTGTATTAGTACATGTATAATAAAAATTAATTTTATTGTAATATATATACATAAATGACTAAAGAACAAATTCAGAAGCTCAAATGTTAAAGCTACTGCATTTAATTAGCACAAAGTACTCACAAATTAGTTATTATATAATCAAAAACAATTTTCAAAATAATTATTATCAGTGAAGTGAATTATATGGAAAATAATTGAAAAAGTACAATTCAGGGATCCGAAATACTTTTTTTGTAATTTATATTGCAAGTTGTATTAGTATATAATGAAAATCAATTTAAAATGAATAAAAAATAAATTCAGAAGTTTGAATGTTAAAATTACTGCATTTAATTAGGTGCAATGTACCCAATACAGTGAAGTTGTCCACGAGTGGTACTGTCAACGCCATTTTAACCGTTGATATTTGAATTTGAATTTAGGTAACAATAAATTTATTTGTGCAAATTTAGCTTAGTTTGCTAGTCAGTAGAGTTCTTTTTTATTATAATATTTCAAGTTGTTAAATTCAATTTTATAATTGTTAAATTTTTATAAATTTAAGATAACATTTACTCATAATAATATTTTGCTAATTTTTATTTAGTATCGTAGAAAGTTTGCTCGTCAGTAGAGTTCCTTTCTTCCTTAACATTTGTTAATTTAGATAGTTTTTTTTATTGCTCATCAGTAGAGTTTCCTTTATATATTGTTGAATTAATAAAAAACCAAAGTTTGAAGCATTTAGTCATTAATATATTCTGCTAATTTTTATTTTGTGTTGTGAAAATTTTAGTTTGCTCGTCAGTAGAGTTCTTTTTTAATGTAAGATTTCGAGTTCCTTTTAGTTTAAAATTTTTGTTTGCTCGTCAGTAGAGTTCTTTTCTATTTTAATATTTTTTTAGTAATGCTTTTTTAGTAAAAAATTTATGAAAGCCAGAAAAAAAGATATCTACTGACAAGCAAACTGAAACTAAATAAAAGGGACTCTACTGACTTGTAAAACAAACAAAAAATAAGAAAAAAACTCTACTAACAAACAAGTTTTCAATTAATTAGATATTTCATAAATTAACTAAAAAAAATGACAAAACGGTGTCAAATAAACTAAAAATAATTTAAAACAAACTCTACTGACGAGCAAACTTAAATATTGAGAAAAAAGAACTCTACTGGCAAGCAAAATAAAAAATATCTTCCCAATGTAAAAAGGGACTCTACTGACGAGCAAACTAAGATAAATGTTTATCATTTAACAAAAAATTTAGAAAATACATAATAAAAGGACTCTACTGACGACCAAATTAACTATTAGTCTAGAAAAATTCAAAAAAGGACTCTACTGACGAGCAAGAATAAATTAATTGCACTTTGTCAAGTATTGCAAATAATAGTCATGCAAAAAAGGAACTCTACTGACGAGCAAGATGAATTTAAAAAATATCATCCCAAAAATGTAAAAAAGGGACTCTACTGACGAGCAAATTAAGATAAATGTTCATCATATAATAAATATTTAGGAAATACATAATAAAAGGACTCTACTGACGACCAAATTAACTATCCACCTAGAAAAATTCAAAAAATGGACTCTACTGACGAGCAAGAATAAATTAATTGCACGTTGTCAAGTATTGTTAATAATAGTCATGTAAAAAAAAGAAACTCTACTGACGAGCAAGATGAATTTAAAAAATATCATCCCAAAAATGTAAAAAAGGGACTCTACTGACGAGCAAACTAAGATAAATGTTCATCATTTAACAAAAAATTTAGAAAATAGATAATAAAAGGACTCTACTTACGACCAAATTAACTATCAGCCAAGAAAAATTCAAAAAAAGGACTCTACTGACGAGCAAAAATAAATTAATTGCACGTTGTCAATTATTGCAAATAATAATAATAATATAATAATAATAATAATATAATAATAATAATAATAATAATAAAGAAACTCTACTGACGAGCAAGATGAATTTTTAGTAGTTTCTCAATTATTGCATAATATTTATGAAAACATAAACGGACTCTACTATCGAAAAACTGAATTTTATTTTATTTTATTTGTGTAGGCTCTAAAAACAAAATGAGTTGATGACTACAAAAACAAAAATTAAAATATAATAAACGTATAAATGAAATTTAAGAGAAAGAACTCTACTGACGTGCAAATCAGGAATCGTAAAAGATAACTTACATAAATGACTAAAGAACAAATAATAAAGAATAAAGAAATTGTTGAATTCATAAAAAATCAAAGGTTAAAGCATTTACTCATTAATATATTTTGCTAACTTCTAAATTCAACTATTTATATAAAAAAACTTTACTGACAAGCAATAATAAAACAAGCACTCTATTTAAATTAACAAAAGAAAAGGAACTCTACTGACGAGCAAACTGAACTGTTCACATTACAAAATAAAAACCAACAATCAATTATAATGAGTAAATGTTATCTTGAATTTTAAAAAATTTAAGAATTGGAAACTTGAATTGAGCAATTTGAAATATTACAATGAAAAGGAACTCTACTGACTAACAAACTAAGCTAAATATAAATGATGTAACTATGTAAAGATAATTGTACTTTAAACTTTCTTTTTAATTAATTTATATTTAGAAAACAATGTCTGTAAGTTTAAATATTAAAATTACTCCATTTATAAATATTAATTATAAATCTTAAAATGACTTAATATTTTCTATTCATATAATATATTATATAATTCAAATCTACAATTAAATCAATTTGTGTGAAAAAAGCAATGAGAAAATTTTTGTATACATTTAGTATTTGAATTCAAATTTAAATTCAAATCTCAACGGTTAAAATGGCGTTGACAGTACCAACCCGCGAACAACTTCAGAGCGTAGGGTACTTTGTTCAATTTTAAATGCAGTAATTTTAACATTAGATTTTCAGAAATTGTTTATAATTCATTTATATATATATATATATATATATATATATATATATATGTATATAAAATAATATTACTTACCAAAAATTAGAATACATTCCATCAGATTTCAACATGGGTGATATAACAATTTCATTTTCAGCAATTAAATTCAGCAAAGTGTCTGGATTCGTTAGGAAGACATCGGCATCCAAAAACTGAAAAAATAAATAACAATATAATATAATATATAATACAAAAAAAAACATTTTAATTTATGAATTATTTATAAGTATATCAGTAAGTTCATATATCATATGGCAAATTGTTCTTACACAAAATTACTGCATAAAACATTATATTTGAACTTGGCGCAATGTGTTGCCATATTAAGAATTATAAATAACGCGCCATTGTTGACAGTTTTCACGGAGCGCGCGAAATTTAAATTGTGAATTTTAAAATAAACAATTCTGTTCAAACTTAATTAACAAATTTTGTAATATTAATAATTAATTAGTTGAAATGAAGATTATTGAATTGTCTACAAAGTGATGTGAGATTATTTTAAAATAAAACATATTTAAGTAATAAATAGATAAAATAAATACAAAAAGATATAAACAAAAATATAAGTATAAAAATATACATAAATACGATAAAGTAATGTGCGCTGTGTTGATAGTTGAAACCGAGGGCGCGAAATTTAAATCATGCATTTTAATATAGTTGTTTTTTAACTATTTTAACAATTTTATCTATGACTAATTAGTAATAGTTAATTATTTTTTCTACTTACGAATACATAATCAGCCCACATCTTCCTAGCTTTCCCCAAAGCCTCTTCTTTCAACTTAATAACATGCTTAAATCTTTCTTCGGACCACTTGGAAATAACATTGTTGTCTTCATTACTGCTAAATAACTTCTTTGTTGTATACTCATAGTCGACTGAATGATATTGTTCTGAAATTTTGTCCAGGAACAGTTTTGTTATTTCTAGGGAATGGTCGATGTTGTTATCGCTTCTTATCCTGAAATAAAAAAATATAATAGTTAATGATATATATATAAACATATATATATATATATATATATATATATATAAAGTAAAATCACAAAGTACTCGATACTCTTTGAGTGACCTAACCTTCCTGCAAACTCAAAAAAACCTTCGACAAACCCCAAAAATAGAACAAACACGTAAATATAAACATTCTGCATTCAAAATCATAGATTTTAAACATCAACAATAAGAAAAACACTTAAAAAATTACATTTTCTTTACACATAACACCTGCACATAACCTCAAACTTATTCAGGAACTAAAACATAAATTTTGCAAATAATTTCGATTGATAACTACAAATATCATTATTGAAGTAACATTTAGGCTTTGGAGTATATAAATAAACAATTTTATAGTACTATAATGTGCAATTAACTTAAAAAATTACATATTTGTTGTCAGTCAAGACACCTACACATAATCTCAAACTTATTCAGCATGTAAAACATAAAATTTGGGATTAATTTTGATTGATAACGACAAATATCATTATTGTAGTAACATTTAGGCTTTGGAGTATATAAATAAACTATTTTTTACAACTATAATGTAAAATTAAGTAAAAAAATGACATATTTATCTTGCAAGACACCTACACATAACCTCAAACTTATTCAGCAAGTAAAACATAAAATTTGCAAATAATTTTGATTGATAACCACAAATATAGTAATTATGATAAAATTTAGACCATGGGGAATATAAATAAGCTAATTTGGACTACTAAAAGATCAAATAAACTTAAAAAATTACATATTTGTTATATTGCAAGACACCCACACGTAACCTCAAACTTATTAACAAACAATTGAAAACACTTTTAACACTAATTAAATAATACAAACAATAAAAATATAGATTTTTACTAATACTATTTAGTCATTTAAACAAACAGAACCTTAAATTAACCAAAAAACACAACAAATTATGTGTTATCTGTTTTGACACTTCAACATAACCTCCAACAAAAAAAAATGTTTAATCAACAACTAAACCCAAATAAATTACTACATATATTTATTATCGCTTACCATAATGAAATTCGGTCCTTAGGATAATTCAGAGACTCCAAAAGACTAAAAAAATAAGGCAAAGTGTGCCCCTTATTCCTGATTAGAGTTACTATCAGTACACTTGGCAATTTTTGGTCTCCAGGATTATTATCACTCAATGCTAATTGAAATGTACATGAAATTAAAAACAAGATTAAAAGCTTCATTTTTAATTACTTAAATTGTTTATAATCACGTTTTATTCATATTATTATTAATGTTTTTGTTTGTTTTAATTTGTGCAAGTGCACACGATGTAAAAAGTTAACACGTGACGTGTGAAGGAGGTTGATAGTTGCTAATAAGAGTGAAGTTGGCGGGAGGAGTTGGTGCTGTCAAGCGCGGGGGATTTAAATTTGAATTTAGAAGTAGGTTTGAAATTGTAAATTTTGTTTATGTGTGATTATCGTCAATTATCATACATACTGTAATGAATATATGGTATTCTAATATTGTCTAGATTTATAGTTAGAATAAACGTGTTTTAATTGTTTTCTTACGTACAAATTTTATTTATACAGGGTTAGAGTTAAAATAAATGTGTTAAAGTCATAATAATAATAAAAATAATAATATAGGCCTCCGAATAGGTTTAATTCTCTATTTAATGAATGTTACTAAATCTGATTGAAGTTTTAAAGTTTAGTTGAATCCGAACAAATCGAATCAAATTTTGTTTTATACATTGTTATAAAGTTTAAATAAATGTGTAAAATATTATAGGCCTGTGAGAAGGTTTAATTATGAACTTAATTTATAGATATAATTATTATTATTTATAGGTATAATTATATTATAATACGATATAAGAGCTGAATTCCATAATAATTTTCATAATTTTCCATAATAACTTTTCCAATAATTGTTTAACCAAAATTGCACTTGGTGAGAATCTACCTGTAACAATTTATGTATTGTATTGTATTATATGTATGTATGTATGTATTGTATTGTATTATATTGTTTTAATGTATTGATTGAATTTTGTTGCAATATAATTTCACAAGCAATAGAGAACGAATTATGTAATTTATGCAATATATTTTATTACCTGATAACCAAATATAGAGTCATTTTTATAACCAAAAAGTCCAGTTTGCTCTTCAACAGACTTCCTTTTTCATTTTCCTATGTAAACTCTTAAAAAATCTAAATTTATTCGTCAGTAGAGTCCCTTTTTCTTGTTTGCTCGTCAGTGGAGTCCCCGATTCTTGTTTACTCATCAGTAGGTTCTTTTTCTTGTTTTTCAATCAGATTTGTAATCAAACTAATTTCCTTTTCAGTGGAATGCTATTCTGAATATAAATTTCTACAAAATTTTAATTTGCTTGTCGGTATAGTCCTTTCCTAGTAAATAATAAAATAAATTCCAGTTTGCTCGTCAGTAGAGTCCTTTCTTATGAATAATTTTTAAGTAATCTAGATTTACTCGTCAGTAGAGTCTTTTCCTATAAACAATTTCTAGTTTTTTTGTCAGTAAAGTCCTTCCCTATAAACATTTTCTAGTTTGCTCGTCAGTAGAGTCCTTTCTCATAAACAATCCCAAGTAATCTAGATTTACTCGTCAGTAGAGTCCTTTTGTATGAAAATGTTCTAGTTCTTTTGTCAGTAAAGTCCTTTCCTATAAAAAATTTCTAGTTTGTTCGCCAGTAGAGTCCTTTCTCATGAATAATTATTAAGTAATCTAGATTTACTCGTCAGTAGAGTCTTTTCCTATAAACAATTTCTAGTTTTTTTGTCAGTAAAGTCCTTCCCTATAAACATTTTCTAGTTTGCTCGTCAGTAGAGTCCTTTCTCATAAACAATCCCAAGTAATCTAGATTTACTCGTCAGTAGAGTCCTTTTCTGGAAACAATCGTCTAGTTTGCTTGTTAGTAGAGTTATTTTATATTAATAATTTGTAATAAATCCCGGTTTGCTCGTCAGTAGAGTCTTTTCTCATAAAAATTGCCAAGTAATCTAGTTTTACTCGTCAGTAGAGTCCTTTCCTGTGAACAATTTTCTAGTTTGCTCGTTAGTAGAGTCATTTTATATTAGTAATTCCTAAGAAATCCCGGTTTGTTCGTCAGTAGTGTTTTTTCCTATACAAATTTTTTAGTTGTTCGTCAGTAGACATTCAGTAGAGTCCTTTCTTATGAATAGTTTCTAAGTAATCTAGGTGTACTCGTCAGTAGAGTCCTTTCCTATAAAAATTTTCTAGTTTGCTCGTCAGTAGAGTCCTTTCCTATATAAGCAATTTCTAAAAAAAAAACGCTTATATTTTTTATACAAATAATTTCTAAGAAATCCCGGTTAGCTCGTCAGTAGAGTCTTTTCTTATAAATAATTCTTGAGCAATCCCGGACTTATTATAATTTGTATATAAAATGTTTTAAAATAACTGCATTTAATTTTGAACAATGTACTCAACACAATGAAGTTGTCCGCGGGTTGGTACTGTCAACTCTTGTTTTGACGGTTGACATTTGAATTTAAATTTACAGTATAATGTACATGTTTTATCATTAACATTAAGTATTAAATTTTGATACAAATGCTGATAAATTTACATACCGAGGGTAAAAGAACAAGAATAAAATCAATTAAATTTAAATAAAATGTTACTAATTAATAAATGTTATTTTAAACAGTAATAAACAATTACTATTTAAATAACATTCTGTGCGGATCAGAAGCAAGGACTTTCTTAAAAAAAAACTCTACTGCCGAGCAAATAGAAAAGGGAACTCTAATATATAATATGTAATAATTTTGTTCCAACACTAGCAAACTGTTAAAATGCAGATTTATAAACAATTTAATTGGCTTTCTAACAATATTTAATACTATTGTTATATTTTAATTATTTACATCAAAATAATCGTGCAACCGATGAAACTAATTTGTATATAAAATCTTTTAAAATTACTGCATTTAATTTTGAACAATGTACCCAACACAACAATGAAGTTGTCCTCGGGTCTGTACTGTCAACTCTTGTTTTGACTGTTAATATTTGAATTTGAATTTACAAAGTAATATTTGTGTTTAACTAAAATATACTTTTGGAATATGTTATGAAAAGGTGCTTATTTAAAATTTTGTATATAAATTGTTTTGAAATTACTGCATTTAATTTTGAACAATGTACCCAACAGCATGAAGTTGTTCGCGAATGGGTACTGTCAACTCTTGTTTTAACGGTTGAGATTTGAATTTAAATTTACAATGTAATATTTGGGTTTAAGTAAAATATATTTTTGCAATACGTTATGAAAATGTGCTAATTAAAATTAGAAATTGCATTGATTAAAAGAATAATACTTTAAAAAATACTTTCTGAAAATCTAGTCCTACATAAAATGATAGAATCTAATTTTTTAGCTAAACTCTTCCTTTGTAAAAAATGTATCAAACTATTTATTAATATATATGTAACAATAATACATACCAACAACTATATATAACGTTTTATAAAAATAGACTAGAAGACTACCAATTATTAAATACTATCTATTAATCAAGATTAATAATTTCACAGTCAATGAGTTTATATCCTTACAATGGCACAAACAGATTACTTTGACTTTTGTTCCTTTAAATCGATAACAATAATTAATTATTATTGTTGTTCTTGTTTCTCAGACTTTTCCTCAGACCTTTTCTTTTTACTTGCATAACTTAAACTGGTTTTATCAAACTCCATTGGCATTATACCCAAGTCTCCACTGTATCTGTTTTTGGCAATCTAAAATTAAAAAAAAAAAAAATTAAGTACTGATTGTAAATTATTTATTTATTTTTTATTTATTTATTCATAACAAGCCGTAATCAATAATAATAGATATTATTTCAGGCTCTTGTCAAGAATTAAAAGTATTTATACCATCATTATATTGTATCTTAGTTCGATTTGATATGCGTGATATAATTTAATTTTAATTAATTATAAAAAATTAATCAAAATTATGTATACTACATCTCTTGTGCATATTTGCAATATAAATACAAAAAATAAGTCCAGAATATACGACCGAATCACAAGCCTCGACTTCTAGCATTAGACTTTACTGAAAACTGTCAAACAGAATTTTTGACGCACTCAGTGCTCGATCCATATACGAAAGTTCTAAGGACGACCTTCATACTTTAAAACATAGACGTAAAACACAAAAGTTTGATCGTTTTTTGGTTGCGTAACAATATGTTTTAATACAAAAGTTATGTAGAAAAATAATTTCCTTAAATTGTTAGTAGAGTCTCTTTTTTATTTTGACCTAGAAGAAAAAAAAGAAATTCTACTGACGAGCAAACTGAACTTCTTAGGTATCATTTATATAAAAGAACTCTACTGACGAGCAACCTAAATTGCAGAAAAAAGAGACCCTACTTTTGAGCAAGCTTAAATTTTGATCAAGAATATTAAAAAATGAGACTACTGATGAGCAAAATAAATTTTTAAGTATAAAATAATAGAAAAAAGGACTCTACTGACGAGCAAATTATATATAACCTTAGAAAATAAAAAGGAACTCTACTGATAAGCAAATTAAATCACAAAAAAAGACCAGACAATGGCTCAACTGACAACTTAAATTTTGCAATACAAGACAAAAAGGGTCTCTACTGATAAACAAACTTATTTTTAAAAAAAGGGACCTCAATAACGAACAAATTAAATTGTCAGAAAAATAGGGACTCTACAGACGAGTAAACAAAATATTAATCTAGAGTATTTAAAATATAAAAAAGAGACTCTACTGGCGAGCAAACTAAGTTACCAGAAAAAGGGACTCTACTGACGAGCAAATTTCAATTTTGTACTAAAACATGAAAAGGGGACTTTACTAACAACTTAATTGCAAACTAAGTAAAAGGGGGACTCTACTGACGAGCAAACATGATTTCTAAAAAAATTCTATTTAAAAAAGGACTCTACTAACGAACAAACTTTAATTTTGAGCTGAAATATAAAACAGAACTCTACTGACGATAAAAGAAAAATAACAAAAAAACTCTACTGACGAGCAAAGAAAAATAACAAAAAAGGACTCTACTGACAAATAATTTACCTGTAGTAATCTATAATGTAAAAAAGGAACTTTACTGACGAGCAAATTATTAAATCTAGATCTAAATGTTAAAAAATGGATACTACTGACGAGCAAACTTCAATTTTGTACTAGAGAATAAAAATGGATTCTATTGATAAGCAAAATAAAATAAAAAAAAGGACACTACTGACAAGCAAACTTAAATATTGAGCTAAAATATCAAAGGGACTTTACTAACGAGCAAACTAAATTACCAGAAAAAATAGACTCTGCTATCAAGCAAAGTGATTTACCAGAAAAAAGGGACTCCACTGACAAGCAAACTTAATTTTTAAAAAGGGACTCTACTGACGAGCAACGTAAAATTGGATCTCAAATTTAAAAAAGAGACACTACTGACGAGCAAAGACAAATAACAAAAAAAAAGGACTCTACTGACGACCAAAAATAAATTTTGTTCTAAAGGATAAAAAAAAGACTCTACTGACGAGCAAACTTTAATTTTGATTTAGAAGATTAAAAAAGGACTCTACTGACAAGTAAAATAAATATTTTATTGTAGAAAATAAGAAAAGGGACTCTACTGACGAGAAAACTTAATTTTTGGGTTAAAACGTTAAAAAGGAACTCTACTGACGAACAAACTAAATTCACATTCAATTTTTAAGGAAAAAATTCTAATGACTGACTTTTAAGTTTCATGATCAAACAAATTCTCTGCTTTGCTTTCTGTAGAGTTTCTTTTTTCTGGTAATTTAATTAATTTGTCAGTAGAGTCTCTTTTCTTATTTTTTATATTAAATTATTTATTTTGCTCGTCAGTAGGGTTTTGTTTTTATTTTTCTTTGCTCGTCAGTAGAGTCAGTGGATTCAAAATTAAAGTTTATTGTCAGTAGAGTTCCTTTTCTCGTTTTCTATATTAAAATTCAAATTTGCTCGTCAGTAGAGTCCCTTTTTTCCAATATTCTAGATAAAAATCCCTTTTTTAATATTCTAGATCGTCAGTAGAGTCCTTTTTCGTCGTTTACCAAAGAATTACCAAAAAGGGATTCTACTAACAAGGAAACTTAATGTTAAAAAGAGATTGTACTGACTAGCAAATTAAGTTTTCTATTTAAAAGCAATTTTGATGTTGAAGATAAACAATGGACTCTACTGACGAGCAAATTTAAGATAAAGAAGACTCTATTGACAAACAATTTAATTCGATCGTTAGTATAGTCCCTTTTCTTATTTTTTATATTAAAATATTTATTTTGCTTGTCAGTAGAGTCCCTTTTCTTATCTTTTATATTAAAATATTTATTTTGCTTGTCAGTAGAGTTTCTTTTCTTATCTTTTATATTAAAATATTCATTTTGCTTGTCAGTAGAGTCCTTTTTATATTTTAGCCTTAAATTAAAATTTGCTTGTCAGTAGAGTTCTGTTTTATATTTAAGCCCAAGAAAGTTCGCTCGTCAGTAGAGTCTCTTTTTCATGTTCTAATACAAAATTCAAATTTGCTCATCAGTAGAGTCCCTTCTAGATCGAAATTAAAGTATGCTCGTCAGTAGAGTTCCATTTTAAATTTCTTCAATCTTTCATTCTGCTTGTCAGTAGAGTTCTTTTTTCTCAGTTTGTTTTTTAAATTAAGTTGATCTCAAAAAATTCCTTTGAAATCATGTTTGCTCGTCAGTAGAGTCTCTTTTTTTTCAATTTTCTAAACCAAAATTCAATTTTAGACTGTAGGATGAAAAAAGGACTCTACTAACAAGCAAAATAAAAAAAAAATATGTAGAAAATAAGAAAAGGGACTCTACTGACAAACAAACTTTAATTTTGAGCCAAAATACAAAACAAAACTCTACTGACAAAGAAAAATAACAAAAAAATGACTCTACTGACAAGAAAACTAAATTTCTTAAAAATATCTATTTAAGGGACTCTACTAACAACCAATATTAGTTTAGAAATTAATATTGTATTATTAGTTAAGTGTAAAAAATAATATAAAACAAAATCGATATTATAAAAATATTCTTAAATTAAGTTTAGAAATTTCAATGTCAAAAACTCTGCTTCAGTTTGCTCGTCAGTAGAGTCCCTTTTTTACAATATTCTAGATAAAAATTAAAGTTTGCTCGTCAGTAGAGTCCCTTTATTAAACCATCAATCATCAATTGGGAAGTTAAAAAATTTAAACATTGTCAATCATCAAACTAACAAAAAATAAAAACGAGAAAAGGACTCTACTGACGATCAAATTTTGATTAGGAGCTAAAATATGAAAAAGGACTCTACTGACAAGCAAAATAAATATTTTAACGTAGAAAATAAGAAAAGGGACTCTATTGACGAGCAAAATGAATTTCGATCTGAAAAATTAAAAAAGGGACTCTACTGACGAGCATGCTTGAATTGCTAAAACTAAAAAACAAAAAGAAGACTCTATTGACGAACAAACATGATTTCTAAGAAATTTCGTTCTAAAAATGACTCTGCTGGCGAGCAAACTTTAATTCTGGGCTAAAATATTAAAAAGGGACTCTACTAACGAGCAAACTTAATTTTATTCTAGAAGATTAAAAAGGGGTTCTACTGACGAACAAAACGAATTACGAGAAAAGCAAAGGGACTCTACTGACGAGCAAACCTTAATATTGATCTAGAAAATAAAAAAGAGACTCTACTGACAAGCAAACTTAATTTTAAAAAAGAAACTCTACTGACGAGCAAACTTTAATTTTGGAACTAAAAGATAAAAAGGATTCTACTGACGAGCAAAATAATTATTTTTAAAATAAAGGATAAAAAAGGGACTCTACTGACAAACAAATTAAATTACCACTAAAAAAGAAACTCTACTGACAAGCAAAATTAATTTTTAAAAATCGATCTCTACTGACGAGCGAACTTATACTATGCCCTAGAATATTAAAAAAGGAACTCTACTAACAAACGAACTTCAATTTTGATCTTAAAGTTAAACAGAGAGACTCTACTGACAAGCAAATATTATAATATAGAAGATTAAAAAGGGACTATACCGACGAGCAAACTTGTAAACTAAAAGACAAAAATTGGGCTTTACTGACAAGCAATCATGATTTCTAAGAAATTTCTATTTATAAAAGGACTCTACTGACGAACAAAGTCAGTAATAATCTAGAATGTGAAAAGGACTCTACTGACGAGCAAAGTAAATTAACAGAAAAAAGGACTCTACTGACGAGCAAACTCGATTTTTATATAGAAAAAAAAGAGCTCTACTAACGATCAAAATAAATTTTGATTTAGAGCATAAAAAAGAACTCTACTAACAAACAAACTTCAATTTTGATCTAGAAAATAAAAAATGGACTCTACTGACGAGCAAATATAATTAGAAAAGTAGAAGATACAAAAAGGGACTCTACTGACGAGCGAACTAAATTTTGAGATAAAATATTAAAATGGGACTCTACTGGCAAACAAATACTGACTAGAAAAAGGGACTACACTGACGAGCAAAATAAATATTTTGATATAAAAGATTAAAAAAGAGAACTCTACTGACGAGCTAACGGGATTTCTAAGAAATTTCTATGTAAAAAATGACTACTGACAAGCCAACTAAATTCCTTATTCATTTCTATCTAAAAAAGGGATTCTATTAACAAGCAAACTTTAATTTTGAGCTAAAATATAAAAAGGAACTCTACTGACGAGCAAAATAGACTTTTTATATACCATTTACATCGAAAGGACTCTACTAACGACTTATTATTTATTATTATTACCTGCAAATACTTCTTCCCTCTAACAGAACTCAACCTCTTATCCTGCACAATCAACACATTATCAGCCTCCTGCGTAGCCTTAGCACTTCCAAATATAGAATGCACATTCAGATCCTCGCTGTCCCTCTCCTTCCTCGGATGTATGACCAAAGTGACATGACAGTTCTTCCTGGTCGCAAACTGTCTGAAGTGAGCTATGATCGAGTCCTGTCTGTGGAACTTGTCGTTGGCGGCGCCACCGCGGTCGTCGAAGGATATCCCCATCATGAATTGGACGTTGTCTATGATGACGTGGGAGATGTCGTGGACGTATTGGGCGTGTTCTACTGCCTAAGGGTGAAGGATATAAGGGTGAGTTTAAGGGTTTTAAGATATGTTTGAATAAGGAATAGTTCGAGCCTAAAGAAGTCGCGAAGAAGTCCCTAGTCGCGCCTAAAGAAGTTTTACTTCAAAAACTAGTAAAAAGAACCCAACTGGCGAGCAAATTCAATTCAAAAACTAATAGTGTGAGGTAATTTCAGACAACAAAAGAACTCTACTGACTAGCAAAAATTCAGAATAAAATAATAAAAGGGAATCTACTGACTAGCAAATTTAAAAAAAAAAAACTGAAACAGAACACAAAAAAAAAGTCTCAACTGACTTGGCTGATGAAAAAGAGACTCTACTGACAGGCAACTTTGAAATTTGATGTGAAAGATAAAAAGGGACTCTACTGATATATAAATTAAGAAAAATATAAAAAGAACCCTACTGACATACAAATTGCAAACTAAAAGGCAAAAAAGGGACTCTACTGACGAGCAAACTAAAAAAAGTAAAAAAAAAGAACATAATAAGCAAATTTTTACTCAAAAAACGACTCTACAGATGAGCAATATGCATCTAGTTTTGATAGTTAAATTCGTAGAATGTGACATCGAAAAATTATACGAAAAGGGACTCTACTGACGAACAAACTGAATGTCCAATTTCGAGAATAGAATTAACAAAATGGTTTCATTTTCAAGTACATTTATATAAACACAAAAGAAATCATAAAATTCGCCATCTTATATTCATAGATCTTATTTTTTTGTTTATGTTAAAACTATGTCAAATTATTTTTCTTGCTCCAGAATGGCGAAACAAGTAGCATCTAAAATAAACGTAGTAATTTTGAAGGAAGCATTTTTATTTTACCAACATATTTAATTAGAATTACAAGTTTTTTAAAATTTTAATCCATTTTCAAACGAAATTTTGCATATGAAAGTGGATTTAAACACTAAAGTTGTTCGAAAATAGCTGTACAAAAGGATTCTACTAACGAGCAAACTAAAATAAGATATCACAGTAGTTTGCTCGACAGTAGGATAAAAACTAAAGTTTACTCGTCAGTAAAGTCAGTAAAGTCTAGATCAAATTTTAGGTTTGCTCATCAGTAGAGTCCCTTTTGTCTTTATTATTTAGTTTGATCATTGATAAAGCAACATGGAGTAAAAGAGGACTCTACTGACGAGCAAACTTAATTTCAGGACAGAATATAAAAAAGGATTCTACTAACGAGCAAATTAAATATAGACTTTCGTGATGAATAAAAAAACAAGACAAAAAAGAAAAATTAAATATAAACACGACAAAAAAAGGCTCGAGCAAATAAAATAAAAACTGAAACGGACACAAAAAAATCTCAACTGAAATTGCTAATAAAAAGAGACTCTACTGACAAACAAACTAAAATATAAAAAGGGACTCTACTAACGAGCAAACTCGATTTTTATCTAGAATATTAAATAAAGAGACTCTACTGACGGGCAAACTTGATTTTTATCAAGAATATTTGAAAAAATGAACTCTACTGACGAGCATACTTTAAATTTTATCTAGAATATTTAAAAAAGGACTCTACTGACGAACAAACTTTAATTTTGATCTAGAATATTGAATAAAGGGACTCTACTGACGAACAAACTTTAATTTTGTTCCAGAATATTGAAACAAGGACTCTACTGATAAGAAAACTTTAATTTTTATTTAAAATATTGAAAAAGAGGACTCTACCGACGAGCAAACTTTAATTTTGATCTAAAAGATAAGAAAGGGATTCTACTGACGAGCAAATTCAAAAACTAATAATGTGAGTTCATTTCAGACAACAAAAGAACTCAGCTGACGAGCAAAAATTCAGAAAAAGATGATAAAAGGGACTCTACTGACAAGCATATTTAGAAAAAGGTGATAAAAAGGACTCTACTGACGAGCAAAATAAAATAAGATATCACAGTATTTTGGCCCTTAGTATAATCCATTTTTCCCAATGCAAACTATATTTTGTTTTTTTATTTTTTTCATTACATATTTATTTATTTTATTACACATTGAAGTTACATTTTACCTTTAAACAAGTCTTACAATTTTTTAATAATTTATAAAACTTTCAGATTTTATTTCAAGTTTTATTCGATTTTTTCTTGAAATCTCAAGTGTGAAAACAGCTTTAAGCGCTAAAGCCCTCAACACATGTATCCGGTTTCATATAAAAGTATTCTCGCGCACAATATATAAAATTGCACGTGTGGTAAAGGCTTTACCATAAAGCGTGTTTCACACCGTGCAATTTTATTTTCTTTTTATATTTTAATGATTAAATTTAAAGGATATAGGGGTAAGTGATGAAGGACTTAAGTATGAGTGAATGAGGATTTTAAGTTTTTTTTTTGAAGTTTTAATCGATTTTTAATTAAAAACTTGCCATGTGGTCCGGACCTAACCCAAAAGTTTTTCATACGTTTTTCCTTAGGCTTGGATATACATGGTAAGCGTTTTTATCTAGATTTAAAAAGGGACTCTACTGACGAGCAAAATAAATATAGAAACGTAAATCGATGCGAAAAGAAAAAAGACATCACTGACCAATAAATAAACTCTAAATGAACACGAAAAAAAGACTCGAGCAAATAAAATACAAACTTAAAATAAAATTAGTTGATGAAAAGACTCTACTGACAAGCAAACTTGAAATTCGATATGGAAAACTTGAAATTTCATATAAAAAAAAGGACTCTACTGACAAACAAATTGAATTGCAAACTATAAAACAGAACTCTACTGACGCGCAAACTTAGTTTTGATGTTGAAGATATAAAAGAAATTAAGATAAAAGTCAAAGGACTCTACTCACGATCAATTTAAAGAATAATTGTAAAAAGAACTCTAAAAGTGTATGAATTCTAAAAAAAGTTAAAAAGAACTCTACTGACAAACAAACTAAAATTAAACAAGCTGAAAAATATCAAAATGTTAAATAAACTAAAAAAAAACAAAAGGACTCTACTAATAAGCAAACTAAAAAAGAACATGAAAGCAAATGAAGAAAAAAACTCAACTGACGAAAATGAAAAAAATCAAACAAACAAAATAAAAAAATAAAAAATGAACTCTACAGACAAATAAACCCAAATTAAATAAACTAAAAAATGTCCAAAGGAGAAAAGAAAAAAGACTCTACTAAGAAGCAAATTAAAATAAAATGAAAGAATGAACTCTACTGACAAACAAACAAAAATTAACCAAACTAAAACATGTCGAACCAACTAAAAAAGGAAAAGGACTTTACTAATGAGTGAACAAAAAGAAGTGAAAAAGAACTCGAAATCTCGGAAAAGAAAGATTCAGAATCATCAAAACTAAATCAGCAAACTTTTACTCAAAAAAGAAAAGAAATTCTGCCAACTAATTGTAAGAGAATAGAAGAAAGGAACTGTACTGACGAGCAAACTAATTAAGAAATTCATTTAGGAACACATACATTATATTGTAAATTCAAATTCAAATATCAACTGCCAAAAAATCTTTGACAGTACCAGCCCGTGTACAACTTCATGCGTGTTGAGTATATTGTTACGAATTAAATGCAGTAATTTTAAAACATTTCATATACAAACTAGCTGTAAGTGGAATTCTGTCTTAAGGCAATTAAGGCATCGTGCCTTGAGGCAAATTGCTGCAACTTCCCGTACCAAAAATTATTATTTTTTTAAAAACGATTAACATTTTTGAAAAAATTTTACTTCGAAAAAATAAGATTTTTTAGAAATTTTAAATTGGACAAAAAATTACTTTTTTTGAAAATAAAATTTTTTTAAAAAAAAAATTTTAAACAATTTTTTTTATAAAATTTTTTTTTGGAAAAAATGTATCTTCATTTTGATATATTTTGGAAGATCTGAACTTTTTTTCAAAGCAATCGTACTGCTTTAATGCATAGAGACAAAATAAAGCGCGTAAGCGCCGCGTCGCTGTCTAACAGAAAAACAATGGTACGGAACCCATAGGAATGTAAACAAAACTTATACTTATTGTAAAAATCTCAATAAAATATCTGATAATTTGATATGCATATGTCTAATGTCTAATGATTATTGTTGACCGCCAAATGTTATTTTTTTTTAGTTTTTTTACTAGATCTCCGAAACCGCTAGTCCTATCTTCATGAAAATTTGATCAAATCTTCATCTTGTTAATACAAGTAAAATGTTTTTTGAACTATACAAATCGAACGCTCCGTTCTCTTAAAAACTAAGTTACCGTTTTTGACCCTTTTTGCCCCATATCTTCGGAACGGCTAGAATGTTTTTTGAATTATTCAAATTGCTTTATCCGTGTTCTCAAAATCGTCGACGAAAATTTGTATCCGAACACACACACATGCACGCACACACACACATACATCAATTTTCTCCAAGGTATGCCAACATATTCAGAAACCTCTGAAACGTGAAGATATATAAAAATTTTCATTTTCGATTTTTTTGCGATTACTTACCCTATGGAAAGTTAATTATAAATAAATCAATTTATCATCTCCAGAACATTAACAATCGTCATTTCATTTCGAATCAAATTCCAAAAAAAAAATAGTTGCCAAATTTACACAAAATTGAAAAAGTGCTCCCGCATAGTCACAGTCTAAACGCATTTGCAAATAATTCTGTGCGACATTTTCACTTATACTGTGCTCAGTTTGGCGGCATTTTCACATTTTTCAATAATTTTCACAAAATTGGAAAAGTGCTCCAGTACACAAACAGTCTAAACGCACTTGCGTAAACATTTCTACCAGAGTGGCGCTTAGACTGTGCTTAGCTTGGGTGATTTTTTGAATTTTTAGTCCAAAATTACAAAAAAAAATTTTTGAAAAAAAATTAGAAAACAAAAAATTTTTTTTTCCAAAATCAATTGTTTTGTTGAAAAAAGCAGAAAGTTCTTTGAATCATTTAAATCGGACGCTTAGTTCTCTCAAAAACAGCCATTTTTTTTAAATTTAGCTCTGTAACTCCGAAACCTCT